CAGATATTCAAAACTATACATAAATTGTTGCCTAACTATATACTATAGTCCCAGAAACCATAAAATGAAAGAAAATTTTACTATATAAACAGAGTTGCTGACATAAGCGTGGCTTGATAACGCCCTGAATACCCACAGGCACTTGGGGTATGCCCCCCCCTTTCCATTTTTTTTCCTTTTTAAATCTGGGGTCGCGTCACCCTTTTCCTATTTTTGTATTCTAATATGCACTATGTATTATCAATAATGTAACTATGAGCATGTCTTCCATATAAAATTGAGAAGAAGATTTTTAAAGAATTTTCCTATATATTTCTTGTAAAACAGATACATGTATCAGAACAAACTTGAAAACTGAGCATGTTTCCATATAAATACATGAATTATGGCTTTGTCATTCTTGAGAAGAAGATTTTTAAAGAATTTTCCTATATATTTCTAGGTAAAAATGTCAGAGACAAACTTGAATCTACACAAATCCATATAAATCTGATGAAATGGCTTTGTCAATTGAAACAATTTTTAAAGAACTATATATCTATGTAAAACAGAGGAAGCCCTTACCCGGGGGGTCATGACTTGAACAAACTTGAATCTACACTAGAGATGTTTCCCCATAAGTTTCAGGTGGCACAGTGGTTCTTGAGAAGAAGATTTTTAAAACATACCACTAAATTTTCATTAAGCCAATCAAATCCCCTTGAGGAACTCTCTGTCATGATCCCCTTCACCCAAGGATACTTTGTGGAAAAATCCAATGGAACGAAAATGCATTCAGCAAAAAACTAGACGCCGGACAAAATGTGATCAGAAAAGCTCACTTGAGCCTTCGGCTCAGGTGAGCTAAAAACCAGAGGTACTGTGAGCAATGACCTCACTCAATGATTCCCCTCGCCTCCCATACGGTTAAAATGGCAAAGTCCATGTTTTGCTTTGGAAAGGATCAAAAGTAAAATAGGAGGTGCACAATGGGATTATGTAATAAAGAATATATGAAAGTATCATTAAATTTTATTCGATGGTATTGGAGGAGATGTGGATAAGAGATGGGTACCCTTCAATATACTAGTAATAGAAAGAATGGTTGTATCCATGTTTTGCTCTGTAAAACCTAAGACAAATGTCAAATCAAAAAGTAAAATAAGAGGTGCACTATGTAACAAAGATTCTGTGAAAGTCTCATTAAATTTCATTCACCGGTAAAGGAGGAGTTGCGGATAAGAGACGGGTACCCCAAACCGTAACAGACGGAGAGAGACGAAAATACGGACATCCCAATCACTACATACCATCAGAGACATCATGTGAACAATTTTATTGATCACTATATACTCACAGAGACATCATGTGAACAACTTTATTGTAAGTCAATCGGTTTTATTCAAAAAGGCAGATCATACATAAATATTTATGGATATATAACAGACCCGAAGGAAATAATTTCGGGGGGGGGGGGGGGGGGCACAACCATACATTTTCAGCTGGAGACACAAAGTAGAATTCTGAATATAAGCAAAATTTTTGGTGAGGCTATCCCCCCGTCCCAGTGGAATGTGAAGATATCAAACAGTATGCAAGCTCAAAAGACCATTCAAAACAATACAAATCAAGAGCATCGCAAACACAAACCAGGTGGGATCAGGAGCCATGGAGAAGTGAGCATCCCAGTCAACCACTTACCCCCCTTGTGTGCTCCTTGGGAAGAAAAAAACGTAGATACTTGAGTAAATCATGGCCTAACATTGTTAATAAAAAATGTCCATCAACATTCGTCTTATTGTATTTGCTGACAAGGTCATTGAGTCCACCACAGAACTTGCAAAATGTTTTAAAACAAAACTATTGATAGAAATTGTTTATATAAAGTATGCTCTTGGGTATCAAATCAACAGTGAGATATAAACCCCCATATGCAGTTGATAAGGGTATATTGCTACTTAAGTAAGGGATTTAGATGATAGAAAAGTTGAAGCCATCACATTAATACATAATACAGACTCTGTGGTATCCTTATTGTAAGCTCTCTGGGATGCACCATGTCGACATACAAATGGAAGAAACTATTGTTGAAAATACAGTGAAATCTGTCTAATCCTGATGTTGAGTGAACTGAAATCTTGTCTAATACAGTGTAAATGTTGACATTGATTTCCTTAGGTTGAATTTAATCTTTTTAAATGTTGTCTAATCTGAAATGTTACCAATTTCTTTGGAACCAGTGGTATTAGACAAGTTTTACTTTATGTTGCCAATATACCATATATTTTGTGGGTGGGGTATACTATAGACCTTTTTTTTTTAATAGTGGGGTGCTAAAATGTGCTTTGACACCAGAAAAGAAAGTCAAAAATGAATGTTGAGAAATATCCAGTATTTTGTTCACCTCACATTTGTCACTTTGTATATGCATGTTCTGTATACAGGGAAATTTTCACCCCCATTTTATTTTTGCCCTTTTGCCCTAACCTCACTTGGGTGAATTTAAAACGGTGTGAATTAAAAAAATACTGTATAACTTCTTAAAGAAAAGAGTGACTGGGCAAATTTACGACGGGGCAAAATTGTTTGAAAGATTGAAAGGTGAAAATAAAGCGGGGTGAAAATAACCCTGTATACAGTACATGTATTAATCGTGTTAATTTGCGTTATGTTATTGATGTTCATGACTGTATGCCGACATGGTAATTGTCAATAAAGTGAATTGAATTTATCTGGTATAGTATTTATTCAAACTTTTGTGTAAATCAGTATTCAAACATATACTTAACATAAAATCTTCTCTAAAGATTGAAATTCCTCCCTTTTGCAGTGTCATGGAACAATCTGCAAAAAGAAGTTCTGCTTAAGTTATTGGCATACTTTTGAGCCAGCAAATTATCAAAACATCCACTTAGAAACCAGCTATACAGTATCAATATCTGTCCAGCGAGGTCCACAGGAAGTGTTTAATTTCCTCTTCTCAAGAACTAGCTGCAGATCTGTAGCTCTCCGGAAAAAAATATATTGATAGACCGGAGAGCTACAGTGCCACCCATTGAAACCAGAAGTCTCTGTCGAGACTGAAGCTCTACTGGTTTGAACTTATAGCAAAGGAAGAGAAGAGTACTTAAGCAGCTGGGATTTGAAACTTTACAACAGCAATATATAGAATAATGATCGTTGATAAAGTCTCTTTATGTTCTTAGTGTAGTCTACTTGTGTGCCAAGTTATATTGAAATCAGACCAAAACTGTAGGAGGAGTAGCATTTTGAAACAATTTTACAGACATTTCAATTTTTAGTAACCATGGCAACACAGTTCATCAAAATTAAAATTTGATACACAGAATTATGTATCTTAGTGTATTCTACTTGTGTGCCAAGTTATATTGAAATCAGACCAAAACTGTAGGAGGAGTAGCATTTTGAAACAATTTTACAGATATTTCTATTTTTAGTAACCACGGCAACACCGTTCATCTAAATCAAAAACCGATATACAGATTTATGTATCTTAGTGTATTCTACTTGTGTGCCAAATTATACTGAAATCAGACCAAAACTGTAGGAGGAGTAGCATTTTGAAAGAATTTCACAGAAATTTCTATTTTTAGTAACCACGGCAACACCGTTCATCGAAATCAAAAACCGATACACAGAATTATGTATCTTAGTGTATTCTACTTGTGTGCCAAGTTATACTGAAATCAGACCAAAACTGTAGGAGGAGTAGCATTTTGAAAGAATTTCACAGAAATTTCTATTTTTAGTAACCACGGCAACACCGTTCATCAAAATCAAAAACCGATATATAGAATTATGTATCTTAGTGTAGTCTACTTGTGTGCCAAGTTATACTGAAATCAGACTAAAACTGTAGGAGGAGTAGCATTTTGAAAGAATTTCACAGAAATTTCTATTTTTAGTAACCACAGCAACACCGTTCATCGAAATCAAAAACCGATACACAGAATTATGTATCTTAGTGTAGTCTACTTGTGTGCCAAGTTATATTGAAATTAGACCAAAACTGTAGGAGTAGTAGCATTTTGAAAAATTGTTTACAGACAGACGGACAGACAGACAGACGGAAGGACGCCGGACGCATTACTATCGCATAAGCTCTTCTGGTCTCTGACCAGTAGAGCTAAAAACTGTATATTTATTGCGCACAAAAAAATGCGTTGGTTCTCGATTTATTTCTCCATGTTTTTTAAACTGTAATCTCAAAATATTACTAACCGTGTGTTCCTAACATATTCTTTCGCCGTTTCCACAAGCAAACATTCCTCATAATTGTTGTTAATAGTCCTCCTGACCCTGATATTGTAATTATTGAACATTTTGCCTTATTTATACTGTCATTTTGGTTTCAAAGGTATTTCGGTCCAATATGCTTCTTTCGGATGTCAACTACGAGAGTTCTTGATAGAAAATAAAGGAATTTTTTGAAATCTTTCCTTATTTGCAATTGAGGTAAGAGTTTGGAAGAATTAATTAAGAACCGAGCACACTTTTTTGTGCGCAATAAATATACAGTTTTTTCAATGGGTGGCACTGTAGCTCTCCGGTCTATCAATATATTTTTTTTTCAGAGAGCTACAGATCTGCAGCTACTCGAGAACAAGATTTTGAATAAATTCACATTTATGCATCAGAAATATTTGTGTCATAAGGAAATTTTAAGTTTTTGCTCATATTCTCAAAGAAAGCAGATATCATGGAGTGTCTGGACCTCTTCAGTCCTGGCAACCAATGCTGTCCACAGACACCAAGTCTGTAAATGGACAATAAGCTCTAGCTCTTCGACTTCCTGGAAGCAGGTCGCCAAACACCAATGACTACCAATATTGTAATGCGAAGCAGTCACCCATACAAGAGTTAAACAGGAGACTTGACCGCATCACTAGAAAAGCTAGCTCACTAGTGAGGCATTATAAGTTCCCTGTCCACTACACTTTGGTCCCAACTTCTTTTATCTGTTAGCACTCTTTTCCAATAACACAATTCTTTAACAATGCTTTCTGTCTTTAAAAATATTTATTGAGCATTATATTTGGTCATTTACTATAGAAACGCCACAGTTTTTTGTGACAAAATGTATAACTTTGCACCTACTGACATGACTGATATGACATATTTCTGAATATAAAGTAAAGAGTCAACTCATAGGCCTTATTATATACTGAAAATTGTATATAAGATTTTCTGTCCTTGATGTTAATTAAATAAATACAAGTCCATCAATCACCAATGTAGTCCTAGAACTCCATAGTCATATCTGAAAGAAAAGGAAATATTATTACAGAAGTATTCTTACTTAAGAACATGAAATAAAGAATAAATGGTAACATTGTGCCTTAGCATCTCGTCAAATTAAACATTATGACTTTTTACAGGTTATAAATATACAGTACACATTTGAATATGACTAAAACAAGAGGCCCATAGGCCACATAGCTCAACTGTCATTATAAACTTTCCTTATAATCCAGTCAATTCTCCAATCACCCCCTTTAGGTTCATTACAAAACTCCAGAGTAGTGCGATACTTTTTACAGGAATATTTTTCTTGTTATATAAAATTCTCTTTCCTTAATTTGCATACCAACATCTGCCATATGTTTTCAAAATAAACAAATTTAAAGTGAGAGTGTCGGTATCTTGATAAAGTGTCGCAAGTGCAGGTCAATGAGGGAAAAAAAAGGATATTCTTTTAAATGATTGTTTCCTGTTTAATAAGTTAGTCATGGTTTGGCAATAAAAGCAGATGTTCTTTTCAACAATAATGACAAATACTTTATTGAAAATCTAAATCTTATTGACACCTCTACATCAGAGACAAATATTTCGTACCACAGAAATTCATATTAAAGATTTCCTCCATGATTTTACATGCATTTACAAGAAGTTACCCATTACTCTTTAATTGAGTAGTTCGATCGAAAATCATTTAAGCCATCAAATACATGATATATTTTTATGCCCCCGTAAACGAAGTTTCGGGGGTATATAGTTTTTGTCGTGTCCGTCTATCTGTCTGTCTCTGTTTGTCTGCAAAAACTTTAACCTTGCCCATAACTTTTGAGTTAGTAGAGCTATGACTTTCATATTTCACAGGTGTATTCCTTGTGACAAGACCTGTCTTTGGGTACCACCAAATTTGACCTTTTGACCTTGACCTTGGAGTTTGACCCATTTTTACATGAAAATTTCAAACTTTTACTTTGGTCATATCTTTTGAACAGTAGATACCAGGACATTTATACTTCACATATGTAATCTTTGTTGAAAGACCTTTCATTGGATACCAACAACCTTGACCCTTTGACCTTGACCTTGGAGATTTAGGTACTAATGAAAAATCTAACCTTGGCAATAACTTTTGAACAGTAGGGTCTAGAGCTTTCATACTTTACATATGTAATCCTTGTAAAAAGACGCTTCATTGGATACCAAGAGCTTTGACACTTTGACCTTGGAGTTTGACCTACTTTTAAAAAATAAACCTTGACCATATCTTTTAAAGGGTAAGAGCTAGTGCTTTCATACTTTATATATTTAATCCTTGTGACAAGACCTTTCATTTGATATCAAGACCTTTGACCCTTTGACCTTGACCTTAGAGTTTGACCTACTTTTAAAAAATCTTAACCTTGGCCGTAACTTTTTAACGGTTAGGGCTAGAGCTTCCATACTTCATATATGTATTCTTTGTAGCAAGGGCATTTATTGGATACCAATAACCTTGACTTTTTGACCTTGACCTTGGAGATTGACGAACTTATGGAAAAACATTTACCTTGGCAATAACTTTCGACGAGTAAGGGCTAGGGCTTTCATACTTCACATATGTAATTCTTGTGACAAGATCTTTCATTCAATACCAATAACTTTGACCTTCTGACCTTGATCTTGGAGTTTAATGTACTATTAGAATCTTTTTAACCTTGGTCATAACTTTTCAATGGAAATGAAAATTTCAAACTTTTACTTTGGCCATATCTTTTGAACAGTAGATACCAGGACATTTATACTTCACATATGTAATCTTTGTTGAAAGACCTTTCATTCGATACCAATAACCTTGACCTTCTGACCTTGATCTTGAAGATTTCTGCACTTATGAAAAAACTTTAACCTGGCCATCATTGGCAACAGATGGTAATAGGGCTTTCATGTTTCTCAATTGTATTTCCAGTTAGGAGACCCTACTTTGGGTACCAATATATTAAATTTGCATCTAAGAAAAGTTAATCTTCACTATGTTGCCATACTGGGGCATCAGTGTTTCACAAACACATCTTGTTTAATTTGTTTTTAAAATATTAAGGAAATAAATATCAATGAAACATTTGGAGATAACAAACAGTATTCAAGATCGTAAGCCCATAAAACAATACAAAATAGGAGCAGAGCAAACATGCTCATGTATATAAATGTTTATATCTATTGCAGGAAAGGCAACTCTATTTCACATACCTAAGATCTTACCTTAGATGAAAAAAATCATCAAATTTG